GGGGGGGAGGGAAGGAGGTCCCATCCGTCCGTCCCCGAAACAGATTTACAGCGCAACGGAGATGGGCTCGGGAGTCGGCCGCTCCGGGACGCTTTTCGAACCAGGAGGCACTCGAGCAATTTTACAGCATGGTTTTATGTGCGCTCCACGGCCGCGGCCTCGCGCAGGGTCCCCCGTCCCGCTCCTCATCTCCCTCCCCTGACAGAGACGTGGTGTCTAATGGCGGACACGCGATTGTGACACGACCTCGGCAGCGGCCGAATGGTCCGCTTCCGAACGGAGTCGGCGAGCTGGAAAGGGCAGTCCCACCAGCAGCGGTCTTCGCGGGGGGAAAAGTTCTATTATCGGAAGGGAAAAATGAAAGGGAATAACTGCCCCACGGATAATGAATGATGGCATAGAGATTTGGATAAAATAGCGCCAAGAAGTCATCCAAGTGGGCGGAGGAGGAGGATAATGTTAGCGAGGGAAAGTAAGAAAAAGTGAAACCAGGTAGAAGTAGAGGGACTCTTTTTTTGCTTTTGGTAGAGTGGGGGGCGGTGCAGTCGCAGGACACCGGGCGGGCAGTGGATTCCAGGGGAGAGAATCATCTTTATATTGGAACAAGGCCAATGTAATCAGCAGATGAGACGTGCACGGAACCTCAATATACATTGTGCTCGCCTCTCCCCCCCCCACCCCTCTCCCTTACCCCTCTACACCCCGACCCTCTCGCCCGGAGATAACGCGGGGAGCACCGAGCCGCACGGAGCAGATGTCTGGGTAACGGTATTGAAGGGGTGGGGGGGGGGGGGGGGGGGGGCAGAGAGGGCTCTGCTGGATGTACTCGCGGCATACAGCAGCGCCTCTCGCCGAGATCAAGCGGAGTTACCAGATTTCCTCAAACACTCTGGAAATCCGACCCAGTGGAACCACCCCACTCCCCCGCGCGTCCCGGCACTGTTGCACGATAGAACCATGTCCCGCACGGTTATATATTTTGCAACACTGCTATATTGCAAATCTTAAAGTGCCGTATTGTCAGATGAGGGTCAGTGTGTTTAGTTTTACTGCTCACGTCTCCTGGTGATAGCCACGTACGACTGTGAGAAACTCACATTGCTGCGTCACCTCACTGCTCCGTGCTGGACCACCAACATTTTTGTCTCTCCTCCTTTATCCCGGACCGACATTTTCTTCCGCTCTCTCTCTCTCTCCGCCACTCGCGGCGGCGCGCGGGGCGCCTGGCGCCCCCTCTACTCCCTGCGTGGCGCCGCGACGCCCTGCGGCCACACGGCGCCTTCCATCAGGGCTGATTTATGAGCATACGCCTGCGGGAGCTTTCTGTCACGACGAGCAGGGGGAGCAGGACAGGAGCGGGTCCCTTTGGCGGCGGGGCGGGGTGGTATGGTGGGCGCAGCAACCGCAGAGATCTGGTGCATGGAGCTAATCCAGCCGGGAGAGAGGTGCATGGCGTGCACGGCTGCAAGTCCAACGAGGCGGATGCACAACGCCGCCTCGGCTTCTCTGTCCCTTTCCTCCTCCCCTCCGCCTCCATTCCTTGTTGTCTCTCTTTGTCTTCCTCTCTCTCTCTCTCTCCCTATCTCACCTTCTCTCCCCCACGCGCACACGTATGTCCTTGCCAGGAGGTGCACCGTGTATCCCCCCCCCCCACTCACCCCCCAGCGACGTGTCTTCGTCGTCGTCACAAATAAATCTCAATTCCCTCGCCGCCAGCCTAGGCCTATACGGCGGCGCACAGTGCGGTGCGGCGGGGCAGAAAGCCCCCATCACCCCCCCTCCCCTCCCCGCACGCTCGTACATACACTTGAAGTGGGCGTGCGGTAGTAGTAGTACACCATCTCGTAGACGTGTGTGTGTGTGTGCGCGCGCGCGCGTCAGGGTTTCTTTTCACTCGTGACCCACATCAGGGTCGCGCTCCTCCGGTCAGATGTTGTTGTTGTTGCATACAGACGTGGTGACGTGTGTGTATGTATGTAATTCCGTTAGCGCCGCCATCGGCTTGCACGCGCGCTCGTATGGAACCTCGCGTTTCGCGCCATGAAACTTGAATGAGAAATGTGCGGGCAGCGCGGCCGTCGCGTGTGTCCGGGACCGTCCGGGATTGAATTTGGCGCGCGGGGATGAGTTCTGAAACGACGCGCCGCGGAGCAGGGCGAGGCGGCGCGGGGCGGTTTGAAAAGTTGGCGATGCGTTTGATGTGACGAGGGTCTGTCGCGCCGCGCTCCCTGCACCGCACCGCTCCGGTCGGAGGGTATATGCACTGTACAAACGAACAGGAGTTTTCTTCATTTTCCAGGGGAGTTTGGAAGAGTCCCAGGCCAGGGGTTGCCCTGGAAATGTGCAATATTTCCAGAGGGTGTCCTGCTGGGTTTTCCAGTATAGAATAATTGCTTGTTGCCAGGGCATCCACAGGGGTTCCAAAACTCTCCCCGGAATCCCCGGGCGCCTCGTTTTAACCGTGTGGGGGGAGGCGCGGATCCCCGCCGCGGCGCCGCACTGCCGTTTAAAACTAATGGCTCGCTGGTGGGAAGAAGGTGCATGGGACGTCGCGCTGCGCTTATCTCCCGAGAATAGGGGGGTAAGTTGTGGTGGTTTGAGGAATTAGGGGAGGGGAGGGAGTATAGTAGTATATATGGGGGCAACGAAGGAAAAGGAGAGCGAGGAGAAGAGTGAGGAGCAACCCCCTTTTCCTCCATAGAACAAATTCCCCCTACATCTCCCGTCTGTACAGCGTGGCGCGCCGCCGCCGCCGGCTCGTGTCGTGCGATAATCGAAATACTTTATTGCCCAGCCCGGGCTGCGCTCGTGAGGCGGCTGCTGCTGCTGCTGCTGCTGCTGCTGCTGCTGCTGCTGTTGCTGCTGCTGCTGCTGCTGCTGCTGTTGCTGCTGCTGTTGTTGCTGCTGGTCAACATGCAGCTTCACGCAAACCCCGAGTGCTCCCTCCTCTCTCGCCCCCCGGCATGCGCGCGCCTTTCCTCTTAAACGCGCTAAAATATGTAACCTCGACAGCACCCCTCCCCCCTCCTCCCCCCTCCCCTCTTGCCCCGTTTCTCTGGGAGGTTTGTGTCCGCCACGCCTTGCAGCAGGGCCCAAACTTTAGCGGGGCTTGCAGGCAGTCCCTCAGGCTCAGCCTCGTTGGCGAATAGTTGTTGGTGGCGGGCGCGGGGTATGGGCCGGGCGCTGCTGTTGTTGAGGTAGGCGAGGTGAGAGGCGTGTGGGGGTAGTGGCCCCCGCACATCCAACCCGCGTCTCGTTCCCTTCGCTCTCCGCGCGTACGAAGACGGAGTTGCGAGATTTGAAGTTTGCGGAGGTTTCTCCGACTCGAGGGTGTGGTGTGCGCCTGTGACTGCTGCTAGGATTACAAATATGAGCGTTTTCCGCGTTTCTGATCGACCCGCGGCAGACCGCGTGCAGGCGAGAGTCCTTTAGGGAATCAGAAACAGAGACGACGCTGTGTGTGGGAAGCGATAACGAAGATGCGGGGTGCAGTGCAGCCGCCTTTTGTCTTTTGCTGCTGTGTCGTGAGGTGGGTATGTGTGCCGAGTGTTCCACCTGGTACTCTTGTTCACTGTGCAGAGGACGCCCGCTGGTCTCGTCCCATAAACGTCGCCCGCCTCACGTAAAGCAGCAGTCGGTGCGGTGTGTAGCCCCTGGTGTAGCCGCGGGGAGGGGGGCGGGGGGTACGTCTGGCTCCCGCGGGAAAATCTTGATAAGCGCGCCTCGCCTGCCCCGGGCGCCCGCCCACCCCAGGAGGACCACGGCCTTATCAAGACACCGGCGCGCGCGGCCTGGCCTACCTACACGTGCGGCGGAAGTGGTTGCCAAGGCAGCCAACTTGCTAGAAATATTTCCTTTTCCCTGTCAAGGAAATGGTTCATTGGAATTTTAGTGGCGGAAGGTTGGCGGCGGCGGCGGCGGCAAGGAGCAGGCGGGGCGGAGAAGCACAGCGCCATTGCGTTTTAAAAGTCGTTTCTTTTTCTCACCCTCTTCGGTCTTCCTTTTTTTTTTTTTAAGTTGCCATTTATCGTTATATCCTACCGCATAACAGAGGACAGAATGGCGGGGCGGAATTCCGTGGGAGAGAGAAAGGGAGACTGTCGCGGGAGGCCGAGAGGGAGACGAGAGGGAGACGAGAGGGAGACGAGAGGGAGACGAGAGGGAGACGAGAGGGAGACTGTCGAGGGAGGCCGAGAGGGAGACGAGAGGGTGGAGCAAAGTTTAAAAGGAAACGCGTTTCGATTCGGAGCGCAGAGTCCATTCATCCAAATAATGTCGCCGTTCTCGCGGGGTAATGTGACTTTAATCTTCACTTCGACCTCTACGCAAGACGGATTGGCTAAACGTGTGCTCTGCTCAAATCCTTGCGATGCCAAACCTCACTAACATTTTATGTCTTTCCTCTTTTTTTTTGTTGCAGTGTAGCGAACGGAGATGGAGGGGCCGCTGCGAGGGCCGCCGGGCCTGGATCCGCAAGGTGAGTGCACTAGTCAAAGTGAACTGCTCAATTCTGTTCGTAACAAAACAGGACTTTGCGATTTGGGATTTTTTTTTTTTTCGTGTATGTTAGCAGGCCACATGCCTGTCCGAAACCCGATATTGGCCCGGACCAAAAGTTCGTAATGACTTATAGTCGCCAGGACCGCGGTCCCTGCCGAATGGATTTGTCGGCGTGCTTGTGGTCTCACGATTGTTAGGGTTTGGCACTTTTGTGGTCTGAACTTTGTAAGTGTGAAACACATTTATTTAAATTACAAAGATCTCGTATGCGTTACAAAAACCCTTCAACTCTCGGGAAACAATCTTCTGTTTCGACCCCCCGTCCCGTCCCGCCCCGGAATGGCGTGTAAATGCGGCGCTAAGCAGCCTCATCGCGCCGCGTCGTGGACGGGTGGCGCGGGCGGCGAGGCAACAGCAGCAACCTGCCGCCGGCCCTCCTCAAGCAGTCCCCGAGGGAGCACTCTTATTCTTCCTCCTGCCCCTCCCCACACACATTGACCATGGCCCTCAACGGCGCGCCCCGCCTCCTCAGCGCCGCCATAAAGGCCGAGTCGTGCCCCTCGCGCGCGCCCTCTCCCTTCTACGGCATTTTATTATACCCCCCATGCCTGCTCTTCTTGTTCTCTCCGTTCCTCTCTCTCTCCGAATCCCCTTTCATCCCCTTGTGTCCTGCCCCCGCTCTGGCCATGCGAGCGCGCCGCCATAGTCATGTCATGTGTTTCGATTGAATGGCGATGAGGATTCATTGACAGCGGCCCGTGTCCCTCCCCGCCGCGCTGTGTGCCACGCCGCCGCCGCCGCCGCTGGGACAGACTGGAGGGTCAATTTATTCGAGGTGGTTTTGGGGCCCTCCTCCCTCCTGCCTGTGTGGGGCTGTGGGGCCCCCCACACCGCAGCGCACACAGAGGAGGGAGGTTGTTGCCGCCTGTTTACCGTCTCGTGTGTGTGTCTGCGCCCGGAACTGCAAAGTGAAAAGGGACAGAGAATTTGCAGCACAAAACAAATGACTGGACACTTACCTTATTTGCGCCATGCATTATCACAGAACTTTTTGTTTTATTTGGTTTTATTTTTGTTCTCGGTGGGTGGCTGGCGGCGCTTGTGTTTAGGATCAGTCTGATCTCATACTTCCACTCTGAAAGTTGAAACCTTTCCAAGCAAACCTTAGTAATCACAATGCAAGTAGGGGAAACGTTGTCTGAAACATTTGTCTGTTTATTAAAGCAATTTAATTTAAGAAAAAAAGATCTGGATTTATCCTTGCGCAGTTAATGTTTACAAACCAGCCAATGCTCCGCAACTATGCTAGGACATTGCTTCGCCAGGTTATAACGTTGCAACTGTGTCTCCCTCACATCGATTTGGTACTCTCTTTGAGTAACTAGAGGCTCTCTCGAGTGTTTGTGCGCCCGTACGTGTTTGTGCATGTATTGTATGGGTGTGCGTGTATGTGTGTGTCTTGCTGCTTTGTCGAATTCGATTCAATTCAATTGGCGCGCCTTTGCTGTGCGCCGCTCCCCCCGAGCGCGCCATCAATCAGAAACACCAAATCAATCGACGCGCCGCACGCCAAGAAGACTCGGCCCCACGAGCCCAGAGGCGCCATGTGTGAGTGAGTGAGTGTGTATGTGTGTTCGTGCGTGCGTGGGTGGTCCTGTGTGTGTGTGTTTTCCTCCCGAGGCGCTCTAATGGATCTTTTGGAACTTTTGTATAGTGAAACAAAACCAAGCTACTCCATTAGTAAGTACCCCCACACTCAAGGTCTGTGTATACACTGTACTGTGCAAGTTTCTTACAAAGAACTGCGCTTTGGAACGCCGAAAAGATTTGGCACCTCCAGAAACAAAAGTACTTTGTATTACGAAGGGCTTACGAGGATCACGTGTTAACAAAGCTTTTAATGTGAAGACCAACTCGTGAAATCCAACTCGCATATAATACTCCATACACGGGTTCCATACTACCTTTATAATACTTCATAATACTCCATAATATGTCACACAATACCAAAAAATACACTCATAATACCTTAAATTACCTCATAATACTATATAATACTTCATAATATCAAAAAATATGACATAAAATATCTTAATACCATAATACTCCGTACACTGCTGAGGCTCGTTAGTTTCACGTGCTAGTGGTCCTTCTGGTCCAAACCTTCCACCGTAATAAAGCTCTCCCGCAGTATATTCTTCCGCGGACCGCTCCTGATGAAACACTCAACATACAACGTGATGCTCCACCGCTCCACCTGCACTGCGACTGGGAGCACCTTTTCCCTCCCGTCCCCTAATGAACGACAGTGTGGGCCGCTAGTTGCAGCGCGGGGCCACTGAGCTCGTTAGTTCTTCTTATCAGCCATCTCGCTTTGTCTAGGTTCATTTCTGCTCTCTCTCTCTCTCTCCCGTTCTCCCTCGCTCTCGCGAGCAGTAGTTTTGGTTCTGCTATGCGCCCGGGTGGCGCCTCGCTCGGGGTCCGCGTTGGTGTCAGGGTTGAGCGACCCCCACCGAGTTTGAGTTGATGGCGCTTTATTCAGGAGTACGGGTCGCTCCCCTCCCTCCAGGTGGGGTTGGAGGGAGGTTTGGGGGACGGAGGGAGGGTGGGGTATAACTTGTTGTTTGGCCGCGTGGAGTACTCACACCTCTACCTTGCCGGACTCGTGCCGCGAAACCTAAATAAAACTTCGTAATGCGTTCAGTTTTTCGAGAGTTCAAAAGTAGACGAGGAGATTGTTCTGTGGAAAGGAGAAAGCGCGAGCTGCACATTTAGAAATGAACTGGTTTCCCAGTTTATGACCGCTCATTGTGTTTTAGACCAGACCGCTGCCGCCGCCCCTCCAACCGCTCGCCCGCAACCCTGTGGATGTTGGACCTCTTCCAAGGAGGAATCAAGGAGGCAGGAGCGGCCCCCTTTGCGGTGCGGGGCGCGTGCGGTCAGGGTAGAGACAACAGAGTATAGTAAGGGATGAGGGGGTTCCGAGGAGTCCTTCGTTAAGGGCATCAGCCGTGTCAGCGTGGCACCTGGTCACGGTCACTCTGAAACCACCGCCACACGGCCACCACCCACACCCACCGCCACCACAACCACCGCCACCAACTCTCTGCCACCTTTCCGCCGCCACCTCGACCGCGGCCAAGAAAGGCCGCGCGCGCGCGCGGCCAAGATTGCAGCCGCCCCTCGCTCGCACGTACGGTGCGGAGCGGCACACAGGGGACGGTGTTTACCTTCCTTTACGCCCCGGGAATTTGTGTGTGTGCGTGCGTGTGCCTTCATGTGTGTTGGTGTGCGTCGTGTGCGTGAGCGTGAGTATGTGCGTGTGCGCGGCCGGGCGCGCCCCGAGAGCAGCCCTAAGGGGGGCGCGAGGAAGGCAACAACAACAAGGAAAAATATGAGGGCGGTGAAAAGGCCTGGGGGACGTGAAGGACGAGAGGTGAGGGTGTGAGGGGAAGGGGAAGGATAGGGGGGAGGGGGTCCTTATTCGGCGAGCACGAGTTTTGCTGCGGGAAAAAAAAAGTGCGAGCTGCTTGATGAGAAAAGAAGAGAGGAAGGGGGTGGTTATGTGTTGGGTCAGCCTACGGGTGGGGAGGGGAGGGGGCAGGAATTAGGAGCGAGACGGTCAGCGTTTGTTGTGCTGCGGTATCCATAGCAGAAGCAGGCTGGTTGCGTGTGGAGATGGTGCTCACGGGCCCAAGGGCTTGGCGCCGCCGCGCCGCATCGTGCCGCCGGGGGGCAAGCAGAGGGAGGGGGGAAGGGCAGGAAAAATAAAAAAACAGCAAAAAAAAAAGTTTGTGATGGGAGGAGAGGGTGTAGCTGTAGTGAGACAAGGTCGCGAGGGAGGCTGCCAATGATACAGCCGTATCGCAACGACACGGCGGCCTACTGCACACTGCAAACAACCGTACTCGCGCTTAGGAGAAAAGTGAACTTATTCGACTCATTCGCGCCTCGGTTAACATAATATCACCTTAAAAAGTTTTCGTGATTTGACGGAAAAACAAGTTACGAAAATGCTCGTAAGAAATAATTTACGAAAATATTTCGGTACTTTCAATTTTCGATATCAGTAAAGTGGCAAATTATTTCTTAATTATCGGGAATACTCGGCGCATATCATTTTCAGCAAAATATTCACACATTTTATACTTTTTAGTCGGAGCTTAACTCTAATTTCTTCTGCGCAAATATTCTGCCTCTCCCTCCCCGTCCACCCAGCACGACTCCCACGGTACTCGGCTGGGCGAGATCATCCCCACGCCATACGCATGGGCCCATACACACGTACCGTAGGCCCCGGTGGATCTGCGCGCCCCGACATACGCCGGTCCACGGGCCGCGCCCCGCCCCGCCCCGCACCGCCCCGCCTTCGTCGGTCCTATAGTAGTGGCCGCCTACAGCAGGACGCTCTCTGGGCCATTTCCATGCAAATGGCGTGCTAGTGGCGCGGTGGGGCGTGGCGGGGCGTGGCGTAGAGGAGCGTCGTGGGCCCATCGGGCCGCTACAGCAGCGGAGCAGACATGGCAGCAAACAATTAGGAGTCGGCTCAGCGTCCTGGTGCGCCTGCTGACGAAACGAATCGAGCGCCGGACAAAACGAGAATCTAACGAAAGCAGCCGCGTGGAGAGCGCCTGTGAACTGGGGTATAGGCAGCCCGCCGTGCAGCCGTGCGCGCGTGCGGCCTAGTCTGACCCTCAGCAGCAAGCAGCACTGGTAAACCATTGCAATCATTATGGCAAACTTATGTCGTTATTAATTAATTGCAAAACTTTGATGTTTTTAAACGACCGCACCCAGCCGCAATGTTTGGGATTGAAATGTAAAGTTAGCTACGTTTCTAGACACATCGAGATATATACGTATACATGCAATTCTGTTCCGGAAACTGGACGCATTTGGTAACGCTTGTCATAATAAACTGGACAAATTCTTTAAAACTTTTCCCAAATATGTCACAGTTTTTGGAACAAAATTGCA